TGTGGGAGGCACAGACAGACACACGGGCACACAGACACAACCCCCGCTGGTGCCACCAGTGACGGGCCGGGGAGGTGGGAAGGAGAAACTTGACGTTTCCCCGAAGATCTGTGTGGTAGCACGGGGCCCCAGAAACCCACAGCATCGAACTCAGTGCGGTGTGCCCCCTTTTTTTACTGTCCTTTTCCCGTCAAAACATCATTCTTAAAGCAAAGAGAGAGAATAAGCTTTGACAGGTTTTCACTGGAATTAATGTCTGTCTTTGGTTACCGCATTTAGTAATTGCTCTGTTGTGTAATCCGGAGAAAGAAAGAACCCGTGTTTTTCTGTTCAGGGCAGAAGAATGCTCTGATAGTGAGGAACTGGAGCTTTTATTTTCTTTAACCCCAAGGCAGTACCAGATGTTATTACAGAAGAGCAACACTAAAAATAGATTGTCGAACTTTAGGTCAAGTATGAAATTAATAAAGGTAGCTAGTAGGTATGTAATCTTAGTTTTGGCACAGTGCAGTATTAAGTGTGTTTTTCTTACAGTTAAAAACACAAAGTAGTTCAACAGAACTTCAAAACAATGAAGCAACTTTGTCACTGGTTGAACTTTGTTTAGGACACAGATCTGTCCTTTCTCCTGATGCTGTGTCCATAGCTGAGAAATACGGTTTTCTTTTCAGTGCCTGATGTTTTAATTCACAGGGGAATGATCTGCACTGGCTGGCATGTGCCTTGTACGTGGCTTGCAGAAAAGCAGTTCCAACTGTGAGCAGAGGGACGGCTGAGGGAAATTACGTGTCTTTAACCAGAATTCTGCGCTGTTCAGAACAAAGGTGACTTTTCTTTTTGCTGATTTATAAACGCTTGCAAGACCTCAAAGACTGCTTAGCAGCTTGTGAAGTGTGGAGAACAAGGCTAAACGTCTTTTCTTGTTTCCTGCTTTTAAAGATGAAATTTATGTCACTGGTATCTTTGTGTTGTAGCTCATGACCGCAGAAGTAGGATAGTTCTATTTGGCCACTACTATGTTGTAGAAACACCGGTTTTCAAAATCAGAGATTGTCTTTCCTCTCCCAAAGGAGAAAGAAACCAGTCTCTGAAGTATGGTCTAGTTTTGAAGAGTGTGCAAAGTGCAAACTTCTCATATGAGAAACTGGTTTTAATTGCCTATGAAAATATTGGCACAATTTATCTTTTTTCTTTTGGGGAAGAGGGCTGTACTTTCCATATCTTCTTGCTTTATGAAACTGAAGAGACCAGAATCTGATAAACAAAGTTGTATCAAATGTTCATGTCTATAAAGCAGTAAAAGAAAAGACTTCCTGAAATAATTAACTTTGTTTATTAGCAATCTGATTGTGTCGTAACAGTCTAGTAGATTGGCGGGGGAGGAAAAAATGCTCCTACGCACTTTTTTCTCATCATCTCCTTTATTATTGGAACATTGCTATTGATTTAAACAAAGAAAACTGGTTCCTTAAAACCTTTTTTTTTTTTTTCAAATCCAGAAATTCAGGGAATTGAAAGTGAATAAATTGTTTCTGTAATCTGGGCTATCAAAGATTTATTTAATAACACTAAAAAGTGAGTGTAGGTAAAGGAGTGAAAAATGAGCAAAGGCTAAATTTATGAAATGAAATTTACTGAAACTTACAATTTTTTTCATACCTTGTAGAATCATTAGCAAAGAGAAACAGACTCAAAGTTTGTTTCATGTAAGTTAATAAATTATTCAGAAAAAATGAGGAAAATATGATTTTTAGAGTAATCTGACTGTTGGAGCTGATTGTGTCTTTGTGAGGAAAAGCCAGAAATGCAAATACATGGTTAAGGTTGTCACTGACTGAGGATATAAAAACATTTTGTGACCTGTCTGAGCTTATCTTTCTTCATGGGTGAAGGACTGGCTCCGAGTATGTTGTCAGGTTTGCAATATTTCCGTTTTTTCAGTTGTTTGGGAAGTCAAAATTGCGTTTATGTTGTATAGTGTATTTATATGTATAGTGTATTTCTGAAAAACAAAAAATCCTTTCAGGTCTAACCCATTTGGTATTTTCAGCTTGATCGAGTTTTTTAACAAGATGAAGAAGTGGGAAGACATGGCAAATTTACCCTCCCAATTCAGAGAACGAACTGAGAGATTAGAGAGAAACTTTACAGTTTCTGCAGTAATTTTTAAGAAGTATGAGCCCATTTTTCAGGACATTTTCCGATATCCTCAAGAGGATCAACCTCGTCAGCAGAGAGGAAGAAAACAGAGGTATGTTTCTGTTTGTAGACTGAATTTAGAACATTGCTGTTACAAAAATATAATGAAGTTGCTTAGTTGTTTAAGTTGTGTTTTTGACTGCATTTTCATGGCAGTTCGTGATGATACTGGAGTTGGTCTGTCTGCCCTGGCTCCCAGAAATTTTTGAACCTTTTTTTCAGTTTGTCAGATCTGACAGCGTGCAGGAAATCCCAGAGCTGCTATGCTGCTGTGATTTGGGCATCAGGGGAAAGGGGAGAGATGAAAATTAGCCTGTAGACAGGAGAAATGTTGGTATTTCTAAGATGGGAAAGGCTGGAAGAATTTAATCGTTGTCTGCTCCGTGTAGCCGCAGTAGCTCATAGAACAGCTGGGCCTGTTTCACTGCCTGGTAATTCCCATGGTTTTCTTTATAGATGCAGATCTTCTGAATATTTTACTTTATAGTAGAAACCTTGTTTCTTTGTTACTGTTCGTGGTAGGAGTGCTGTGAAAATCAAACGCTTTTTTTCCTGGTTATTCTGTTTGTGCCAGCACTTAGCATGGCTTGTGATTTCTCCTCATGGTTTGTAGAGATTGATTTATATCCAATCATTATTTCTTTCACCCTCACTGCTGTGAAGTGCTATTGTTTGGTTGCTTTTAGGTTTTTGTTTGGTTCAGTTTTTAAAACTTTTTCGCATATTTACAGCCTATTTCTTAGGGGGTTTTTTGTTTCATGTTTGTTTTTTTTTATTGGCTGGCAGAAGTAAAACAAATTGGATGAGTCCATACTTTGTCGATTTCTATGTTACCAAGAACACAAACCGAACTTAGTACCTGGAAATGTGAAAGTAAGAAGGAGATTTAGGAAAACTGTCCGGTATCCTATAGGCGGCAGGATTTAGGAATAACAAATCCTCAATAGCTGCAAACCTTCTGATTTTAAAAGAGGCCTCATGAATGAATTACATCTTATCTGAAAGCATTTTAAACAAAGACCAGCAGAGGAACTTGCTTCTGATAAACATTTAATGTATTTCATAATTCTGTGTGCTATATAAAATCCTATACAAAGTGCTTTACATTAGTACGTAGCTGGATTTGTGAACACACAGTTGTGAAAGTCATGTTTCTAGTGGAACCTGCTCTTGGGCTGCTCTGATGGCATTTGAGTCGTTTCAGTCAGGCTGAGACTGGGGCCCTGCTTGCGACTGCTCTGAGCCAGTGTGCGACTGGCCTTCGTACCTTCGGACGGGTTTTTGTGGGAGGGGTTTAAGAGTGTGGCCGCATGATAGTTTTTCTTTTGGAACGATTGAATGTTTTATGGTGTTCTGTCAGTCTTAGTTCATTGAGCTTATTGGGTCTCTTCTTGCTGTATTTTTCCCTAAAAGACGACACCCGTGTACCGTGAGCGAAGTTTTCCAGTTTTGTTGGGTGCTGTTTGTTCATGCAAAAGGTAAGAGATACGAAAGGGATGAAATATGGCAAACCTATTTTTGTGAGTCATTATCTTATATCAATAATTTAACGTGGAATTCAGAAACACCTTTGGAGAAGGGCCTTCCTCAGAACAGCGTGATGGAGTGTTTACTGTCTTAATTTCCCCAGCAGTATGTTTTACCACACATCTAAGGTGAGCTATTTGTCCAAGTAATTTAGTAGCTTTTGTGTGGAATATTTTTACAAAGTTACCGGTGCAGTGGAGATTTATGCTTAGAATTTTAGTGAATTCATATTTAGATGATGTTGTAATTAACATAAGGTGTATATGTAGGTTTACTGGGAACAAATAATATTTAAATTGCTCCTGAGTTTTCAGCAACAATAAAAATATTTAATGCATTTTTGTACATAATATTTTCTAGTTAACATTTATCATAAAATTCTAGGTGTGAATACTTTCAGGCTAGTATCACAGATAGCATTCTAATTGCTTTGGCAGCCTTGTTGCTGCACACAGCAACTGTGTCAAATGAGCACCTGCATTGCTGAGCAGGTGTGCATATGCCTGTCTTGCGAGGGGGATTTTCTCTTGCCTGTTGGACGTGGCAGCCTGGCTGTGAACGGCTGGCTGGCTGGAAGGCTCAGGTTCCTTTACAGCACATAAGGGGATCCTCTGTCAATATGCCTCTGTAGAAGTGATGCAATGCACAGACAAAATATTGCAGTGTATATATAACCTTTATACTAAGAGCAGTCTTAAAGCTAGTAAGAATATAACGTTTGTTTTGAGAGCAGCCTTAAAGCTCCCAAGAATAGTAGCAGTGTTCAGCAGTTTTTCTTGGTAATGACTGATGGGAGAAAAAGCCGCAGGAGGGAACAGGATTAAAACCTTGCTGTAGGAATAAATTGTTGAGTCGTGTCACATATAGTCTAAAGTCTCTCCTCATCAAACCTGCGCCTTAAAAGAGTTTCTGCATACCTGGGGCTTTGTTCAAGTACCGCTTGGATGAGTGTTCCCCAGGAGTTGTGTGTGAGTCAGAGAGCGTTCTGAGGACACTAAAGGCAACATTTATATTCCTCACTGAAAGAACATCTTTGCAGATTCAGGTCCACTGATAATTTCCAGAGACGTTTTGTATTTTCTTCAGAAGATAACTTCCAGTAGAAGAAAACTAATAGTTTAATTTCTACAAGAAAAGGGATAAAAGGAACCTTATGTTGGTTTTGGGCTGTGTGTTGAGGTGGATTTTTTACAGTTAAAAGTGAATCCGTGCAAAGGTTCCTGCCATGTGCTGTGATTTCCTTAACTGGCTGCTTTTGAAGGTAGGACAGAGTAAGCTGTCACAACGTTGAACTATCTGGCACTAATTTTGTTCAGTAAAGATTAGCCTTTCTTCCCATCCTGTGCCACGCAGCAGAGGGCTGCCAGCAGCTCCCTTTTGGAAGCATTACTGGGCTCTCCCCGTCACGTCCGTGCACAGGGTCAGGCAGGGCGTGACACCGCACAGGTGCTGTGTCTCAGGAAGCAGATGCCTTTTTCCAACAGGCTGCAAATTCCACTTCTTTGGCAGGGAGAAATCTTTCCTAAACAAGTGTGTTGCTTGCAACCTGGAAACACAGTATGATTTCCATCTTTTTAATTTGTTTTTTCCAGTTCAGAAGAGCTCTCTCAAGTAGTATGAAATACCTGTTCATATTCCACTGAGTGCAGAGCAGAGTTAGCTCTGCACTTTGCTTCCAGTCAGTCAGAACTGCGCTGCTTTAGCACAGCGAGGCAGCTGAGGCAGTAGGTAATCAGTCTGAAAAATCCCAGATTTTTCTTTTCCATTCTATAAAATTCCCACTTCTGTGGGTAGATTGGACAGTTGACAAAGTGCAAAGGGACTTTGTGAGTCTTCCCATTGCTAAACTATTGGTTAGTGTGTTTGACTACATCGTCAATTAAATACATGATAACTGGGGAGGAGTTTCAGACATACAGACTAACCTAGTAGAGAATACCATGTTGATAACACAACCAATTAAATTTTACAAGAAGAAGGAAAAATTACGGTAATCATGAACTGTAAAATTGGTGACTAGTGGGAAATCTATGAGCGCGTGGCAGCACAAAAATGGAAATCAAATGTTGGCTATTTAAGGCATTAAGCATTCATGTTAAGTTTTGTTCATGGTGTTTCGGGGCTGGCAGTAATCCTTATCGTGGCAACCGCACATCAGTGGCAAGTTCAGGCTTGTCTCTGTGATATTTCTGCAAGCCCGAAGATCATTGTGTTCGGTTTCACAAATGCAGAAAGTGCGGGGCCTGTTCCTGCCTTGGGTATTGCCACCAAGTAAGAGAGCAGCTTTGTGCAGTGACACTGCATTTTCTGCCTACTACTGTAAGAATTTATCTTTAAATTCTCTGTCCTAACTTTTTTCTTTCTTTTAAGTGGAAATGAAAAAAAATAGATTGGTGCTGCACTGAGATAAATATTTTTATTATTTTATTATCTGCTACTAGGCTGTAAAAGGGAGCATAAACTATTGTTTTAAATGTCATCGACAAATCATTTGTATATGAAACCGGTGGTACTGTAAAGTTAGTTTTGTCTATAACTGTGCTGACAGTAGCGATTGCCATGCTAGACTTCATGATTATGAAAGTGAACCTATGTTACGAGACATTTCTTTAAGATTTTATTGATTAATGTTTTATTTTGGACTTCCATTGCTTTGCTATGAACCTTTAATCATTTGGAAATAACTGATAAATGTGTACAGTTAATTGAAAGTTCATGTAGGCTGGATTATTTTACATAGCTCAAATTATCTGTATTGAAAATATTTTTATTTCAACAAACGTGGGATCACAAAATCGAATACAAATTTGAAGAAACTATTACCTTACTGGTAGAAAAGTAACAGCATAATTTAGAAAAAAATTGTAGTCATATATACATTTTGATGTGTTCTAAGTGAGTTTATTACTGTATGATAGATTTTTTCCAGGACCTGTTCTTCACAGTGGGCTCAGCTAAGTGGTTCAGAGCTTACCTTAAAAAAAAAAAAAAAACAAAACAGCAAAAGAATTATTAATAATTGAAATAATAATAATTGAAATAATTGAAATATGCTGGGAAAAAGGTTGGACTTGATGACCCTGGAGGTCCTTTCAACCATAATGATTCTGTGATTCTATGATTCTGTGAAAGAGTGATAGAGAATCATGCTGTGCATATAAATCCATGGAATTGCAATTTATAGTATTAATTAATGGCATAGTTAATTTTATAAGACTGTTTTTAGCTATGGCCATTCCTCTAAAGGAACGTCCTAAAACTTAAATGAGTTCAGAATAACAAACCTGATTATAATCTTTACGAAAGGTATAAAGAATGAATTAGTTTCAGTGATTCTTTTCTACAGCAAGATGATAAATAAAATATACTTAAGGGGTATATGAAATAAAGCTACTTCGTAAACCAGGTCAGAGATACACATTAACTTTTGTAAATCACAAGAGGTGTAAAGTTAAATTTATTAGTGTTTCCAAGAATCCGTCATTGGTTGTAATACAAATATCAACAGTTTCTTGGTTAAAAGAATTTTAAAGCTATCACAGTTTTAATTAATGTCTTGTGTCTTTCTAATATCGAAGGTAATTTTCCCATGATCAGTGACGACTTGGTCAACTCCTACCATCTGTTGTTGTGTGCTTTGGACCTGGTGTATGGGAACGCTCTCCAGTGTCCGAACCGTAAAGAGCTTCTGAATCCTAATTTTAAAGGTACGTAGTGAAGAACTCTCTCTGTCTTTATCCAGAGTCTGCAAGAACTTCTAAGGCTTCTGAATTAAGTGTGAGTCTGTGTGGTAGAGAATAAGGTGAATAATACTGATTTGAAATGTGGGGGAGTTCCTGTTTTCTGTATCTGGCTACAGAGTTGGGTTTTTATTACTGTGGTATGTAATTACGGACTGCTGAACGTTGTCAGTAGTACAGTGAGTCAATAATGTAATGTACTGTGGAAATACCATTGAAGGAAGTTCCAGAGTAAAAATTTGAGTTAATGACGTTTTAGTGTCAGTGAAAGAGCACGTAATGACGCGAAGGTTCCTGGGCACGGTCAGGCTGGAGAGTTCCCGTGCGCTGGGGTTTGGGAGGGTCCCGAGCTCAGACACCTCCAGTGTTTCTCGCTTGTTTCTGAGTCGCTGCTGTTCTCTTTCTGGAGAGAACGGAAATGTGGGCTCGCTTGAGAATCACAAGTGCAAAAGAACAGTGAGAAGTTTCCACTGAATTTCTCATGTAATTCTTTCCAGACTTCATTTTCAGGGCTGTACAGCATCGGCATTTGCTTGGCAGTAGTTTGGATGTGAACAGCATCTTCTGGTCAGAAGATGTGTGTATTTACTGCAATGGAAGTAATAATAACAATAGCAGTAACAATAATTCATGTCGATTTTCCTCACAGACAGTGATCCGTTTTCAGATGGAACCGATACTTTATTTGTATCATTCAGTTTCTAATGTTAAATCTCTGATTCAAAATCAACTTTTGATAACATTATCGCATGAGCATTATATAATTAATAATTTTTTCAAGGGAAATAATTAGTTTACCATTTTAGTTTCATTCTACCTAGACTACACAGCATAGAATTGAAGTTTCATAAGAAGATGCGGATTTGGAAAATTAAACCATATGATATTCTTAATTGTAGGTCTACCTGAAGACTTTCATAGTAAGGATTATAAAGTATCACCTGATCCCCCCTGCATCATTGAGAAACTCTGTTCGTTACATTATGGATTAGTTTTAGAAGCGAAGGGTATAAAGGAACATTTTTGGAAGCCATATATTCGGAAGCTTTTTGACAAGAAGGTTGGTCAGTAAATTTGTAATGTAGAAAAATTTCTGCTTGCTCGTTATATTCAAAACCTTTTTAGGAACTGAAATGTCCATCCTTTGTCTTAACTGTATTGCAGCTTTTAAAAGGAAAAGATGAAAATCTGACTGGATTTCTAGATCCTGGGAACTTCGGAGATAGCTTGTGAGTCGCTGTGGTGGTGGTTTGGTTTGCATTAGTATCCCCTCGTAACTCAGTTGCACTCGCATTATTTTCTCTATCTTAACAGCAATGTTTATACGTTACACCGTGTTTCAGTTCCTGTTCTTTGAGGTGGTACAGTCTGATCTGAGGCTTATTTGAAAGAGGAATGATTCTTCAGGGTGCCGTTACTTGATGTCTGCTTTTATTTTTATGTTTCGCTGTTTCTTCAATTTTTATTTGTATCTTACTCAGAGTTATATACACAAGAAAGATATGGGAGCACATTGAATGAGTGGGAAGTGGGAGGGAAAAATAAGGCTTGGTGGTATTTTTTTCTTTATAAACCTAGAGATGCTTATGAATAGGACTTCCTTTCTTTTCCATGGTATGAAAATGGTCACCGTAGTTTATGATGATGTGATGCTGTGTAAGTTTTGAGGAGTTCCCAGCCAAGTAGGAGCCTGTATCTCTCTTTTCCTTTCTGCTGTAGCAAAGCCATCAACAAGGCCTACGAGGAGTATGTTTTGTCAGTAGGAAATCTTGATGAGCGAATATTTCTCGGGGAGGATGCAGATGAAGAAATTGGAACTCTTGCAAGGTGCTTGAATACAACTTCAGGAATGGAAACAGCCGAAAGAGTGCAAGTGAAACATAACTTGCAGCAGCACTTTGACAAGGTGAGCATGACCTGGTCTGTGTTGCTGGTTTGATACGGTGAGTAAGTGGACTGTGTCTGTGTCTGATGAAGGGAAGCGGCTTCTAAAAATTACCATCTTCATTGTTCAGGGTGACCTGAGAGCATACACAGCATAGCTGAGTTAGATTTTGCAATTGATTGGACATACTGTTTACTTGTGGGGTTTTGGGGCAGAATTTCTCCACACATTTGGGTTTTCTTTGTTTAAATCCAGTGTAAAGAATATTTAGATAATTACCTAAAGAGGTAAATCTCGGGGTGAAGATTTTCAAGCCCAGCAAGACAGGCGGTTCTTTCTCTGTGGGTGTTTGAATTGTCCCGCAGCCGTTGGGGCCCTCTGGACCTGCCTGTCCAACCCCCCCTTTCCTCACAGCTCAGTCCCATGTGCAGAGGGTTTTGTTTGCTCAGCACTTTGCTCCGTGCTTTCTCTCTAATCCCTTCCAACAGACATGCTTCAGGTGTTCATGTCACATCTGTTTACAGCTTTAGTCAAATCACTAGGGAACGGTTTTCACATTGCTTCCCTAAACCCATGATACACAGGGATGTCTTTATATGTGACTAATAAAGTAGCGTAGAATACGGCCTTTGGGAGGATAAAGAACATGATGTGTTCCAGAACAGTACAGGGAAGACCTGGGAAATTATCAGGGGCCTTGTGTAACTGGAGCTTTTGAAAAACAAGCACTGGCTTCAAATGCAGACACATACAGCTGTGATTGCAGAGTATCAGAACGTTCCTGAAGATGGAAAAGATACCTTAAAACGAGGAAGGATACAGGACAGGCAAATAAAGAAAGATTTAAGCTGTATTAGCACAGTTAGATCACAGGGAACTAGACTTCATGGTGGCAAGACTGCAAAGTATGATGTATTCATTAAAACAAGGAAAATGTTTCTCGGTTAAGCAGTTGTGTGGTTAGACAATTAGACGTGTTTTGCTGTACACTAATGGAAGGAACATCCATGATGTTATTTTTGATGTGATGGTTTGATCTGATGCAAGTGAATTAAAATGCTAATTGTTAGATTCCAGAGGACTGTTCATGGTGAGAGTTAAACCTGCAGAAAGGAAACCCGGCGCAGCACACGTTTCTTAGGAGCTACAGCTGCTGCTGGTGCTCGGGGGCAGGAGGGGTGCTGGGGTTTTTGGGTGCCTGTGGATCGGCCTCGTCGTTTCACGCTTCACTCCCAGTGTCTGCGTTTCGGTGGGAGGTCACATCCACTCTGTTCAGATGCTTGTCCAGCCCTGCTTGACACAAACACTGACTCGCTGCTGGCTCCTCCCTGAGCCAGGGGATCTGTAGCCGTTTTTTCTGGGCCTGTGCTATAACACAGGGTAAATATTCTACAGACTGACACCTCTAGGTTATGACTTGTAGCTAAGATTTATAACGGGGCACAGTTACAGGCTTAATCTTTTGTCTTTTTAGTCCAAATCACTTAGGATTACAACCCCGCTTACTGGCCGCAAGTACATTAAAGAGAGCAACCCGTATGTGACACCCGTTTCCATAGCAACATACAGCTTGAGCCGCCTTCATACGATGCTGGCAGGGCTCAAAAATGCCCCCAGTGAAAACCTGGAGCAAATACTCAGGTAAGTTTAATGTTTAGCTGGACAGATAATTCTGTTTGTTAAATAATTTAATAACAAATGTTAATGCTAAGCAGTAGTATTTAAAATGTGAGTCAGTCTTAAAAGGTTCTGGAGTAAAACAGGACGCAGAGATACATTTAAGTTTCAGAAGATTCTGTTCTCTTTTTTTAGACACATTTGTCCATAAAAGATTGATGGCAGTAAGAACAGACAATACTTAACACCCAGCAGTTCCAGGCTTCTCTAACAGCACTGCTAACACAAAATTTTCAAAACTTTTCTATTTTCTGCTTAGCAAATCTCACAACACAGTAAATCAGCCCATGCTGTAGGAGAGGCAGAATAGATTTTTTTATCCATGTAGATAAACTGTTGCTTCAGGTACAATATATTTTAAAACGATTTTTGTATCGCGAGGAGAATGCTGTTTAAATATTTATCGCTGATCAGAAGATGTGTATATTTAGTACAATGTAAATAATTATAACAATAGCAATAACAATACTACTACTAATGTGCTGTGGACATTTCACAGTACATAAACGTTTGGCACATGTGGGTGTATTTGCATTGCTATGCACTGTATTTCCAGTTTCATGCTTTCATCATGTTATAAAAATAGTTGTAGATTTTTTTTTTTCATCTTAGCAGAAATAGTATGTTGAAAATGTTTTGCTTTTATTTTCAGGACATGTTCCAGAGATCCTTCTCAATCTATTGCAAACAGAGTAAAAGAAATGCATGAAGCGTATTGCCAGAGCGTGCAGTCTGAAGGAGAATTCAGTAATTTTTCCAAAGGTGGGAAACATTTTACTTACACAGATACAAATCAAAATGCCTGTAAACCCATTGATCTCTTACAAGGAAATGACAGGTTATGCTTTAGCACAAGTGTACTTGTTTATCACTTTTGTCTTTTCCTGTATTCTTTTGAATTTGTTGATACTTTCAGTTCTACAAAAGCGAAATGAAAAATCGCTGTTAAGGGCACTGCTTGTTCTCTCAGATATAAGAATAATACCAATGCCAGGGATTTCTGTGACAGTAAGAATCTGGCTGACTGTACCCTTTAAAAACCTTACAGCAGTTTTGGCTTGCATGCAAGGATGGATTAGTCCAGATATTAAAATCCTGCCAGTATAAATACGAAGTATTATTTGTGAAGTGCATGAAGATGGATGGAAAATAAGGAAGATGCTGTTGACCTTGTTTCGTAATAAGAGTCTTACTTTGTTCTTGTCAGCCTGGTTGCTTCAGTGTTTTCTGTTGCACCATGCAGGTTGGATCCACACAGGTGTAGCTTCCACTGTATTTTCCTATTCTCATATATGGTGTTCTTCTCAAAATCTGGGTTCAGTAGTAAGTTACTCTGGGCTGCATCTGCAAGTCAGGGCAGTGTAGGGGAGGGTGCTTTAAATTAACTGGTGTAGTCCTGGAAGTATTGCAGCACAGCAATCCGCACAAACTGCTCAACTGTTGTATCTCTATAGCTTAAGATAAAGAATATAATTCTTTTATTGCATTCCCCAATATTGTTTCTATTTACAATTCCTGCAGATGTTGCTAGTAAGCATTTTCGTCATGCTGAGGTGCTGTACTACAAGGTCTTAGAGTCAGTCATTGAGCAAGAGAAGAGGAGACTGGGAGACACTGACTTGTCTGTAAGGAAAACTAATCAAATTTAACTTCATTTTTTAAAAGCGTACAAGAAATCATGTGTTTGCAAACACGGAAATATATGAAATCTTTAATGAGTAAAGATGACTCATTTTAGATTCTGTCCTGTCTCTTGCAAAATAACGTCTCTTTTTAGAATTATCAAATCTTTCTGTTGAGGCAGAACAGAAAGCCTTTTATTGTTCTGTAGTTAATGGCAAGTTAGGTGTTACAATTTGCAATTCCCTTGCAGGCGATACTGGAGCAAGACGTGTTTCACAGATCTCTGCTGGCGTGTTGCCTTGAGATAATTACCTTCACATACAAACCACCTGGAAACTTCCCTTGTATCACTGAAATATTTGACATTCCAGTTTATCATTTTTATAAGGTAAAGCATTTGTTTGAGAGCTAGAAATGCTTATCGAGTCATGTGCATGCTATTGACTCTTGTTAAGTGATCTCCTTACCTAGCTGTTACCTTACCCATTAACCTTTCCTTCGCTTTGCCCCTTTTTGTGTTGAAGATACATTACCCAAGAGTCTGTCCTTCTGGGGTGTGTCTTGGGCATTTATAAATCAAATTACTGGCAGCAGTTTTACACAGGAGCAGTATCCAAGTATCGCAATAGTAACTAGCCCATTAGCACTTTATCACGAGCTGTTGCAGCTCTTCTGCAGCAGTGCTTGACGTGTTTGTTTAGGAAGAGACAAGTAAGTGTCTTCTGGTAAAACTGCAAGACAACATGTGATTGAGTCCAAGTAATGCAGCCTTGATATTGGTGATGGTCTGTCTCTTGTTCCTTGAAAATGGAGAGTTAGAGCTTTCTGTGAGGAGAAACAGATTAACCCAGTACCTTATGTTAATCATAATTATGCACCTTACAGGTAATCGAGGTTTTCATTAGAGCAGAGGATGGCCTGTGTCGGGAAGTAGTAAAACACCTGAACCATATTGAAGAGCAGATCTTGGAAAGCATGGCATGGAAACAAGAGTCCATCCTGTGGGACAGAATCAGAGAGAATGAAAACAAAGTTCCTAGCTGTGAAGAGGTGAGCACTGCTTTATATGCTTTACATGATTTTCCTAATATATTCATCAATGACTTAGATGAGGGAATTGAGTGTACTATCAGCAAGTTTGCTGATGACACCAAGCTGGGAGGAGTGGCTGACATGCTAGAAGGCTGTGCTGCCATCCAGCAAGACCTGGACAGACTAGAGAGTCGGGCGGGGAAAAATTTAATGAAATATAACAAGGGAAAGTGTAGGGTCTTGCTTCTGGGTAGGAACAACCCCAGGTTCCAGTATAGGTTGGGGAATGACTTATTAGAGAGCAGTGGAGGGGAAAGGGACCTGGGGATCCCGCTGGATAGCAGGATGCCCATGAGCCAGCAATG